TCTTTGTCATCTCTTCTGTAACTTTCAAAGCCATCATTAAATGGATTATTTTCTGAGGAAATGGGTCTATAACGTCTTTCTTGACTGCCCTTAATCAGGTCTGAAAATGGAAGTCACTGACTGAGGGACAAGCAGAGCGTGCGCGCGCGCACACACACACACACACACACACACACACACACACAAAATGAGAGTTCATTCTTGAAGAAGATAATTTGTATTAGAAATCAAAGTATCTACTGTACTTTTTTCCTTGATGAGGCTGGTATACAGACTCTTCATCCACACAGCAAATGGCATGTCAGATTTGCCAGGAGAAAAGAAGCTGGAAGCTTCTCCCCAGTATGAGCTGTTCACATTTCTTCTTTAGATAACAGTGAGTTTTGTCGATACCCAAATACAGATTATGAAAAACAAACTGTATACAAACTGTGCATTTTATAAGGTCATATTTTCTGAATATATGCATCATTCAAGACCTCCTTTTATGGTTTGTCAACAAGATAGCTGCATAAAATACATCCTGATATCTCACAGCTGTGTGTAATTCATCCTGTCTACCCATGCTGCACAAATAAAAATTTTATTTGTATCATCTAAAAGAAATACTAGTGCATAAATACATAAGCAAAGCTCATAAGAAACAGTCTCCTGACCACAGATCCCATGGAGGGGATATTGTGCAACCAATTAAAAAGCCCAGAGATGGCTCCATTATTCCTGTACACAGATAATAAACACTGTGCTCAGCAAACAGTGCAGTTATGCAACTTCTCTGGAGCCTTGCAAAAATGTCTCACAAGCATTGGCCCAGTCTGCCTTCAGATTCTCCTAGGAATATCTAGAAATAAAGTTTCTTTGTGGGGAACTCTGGAGCCAAAAGAGAGCCTTATTTTGGATTCGGAGTCTGGAAAAATGTAGGTAAAAGGGGAGAGTGTCTAATGCTTGGCACATTTGGCCTGCAGGACATCAAGTATCTGTCATACTCTGTCACCTAGAATGCGGAGGAACTGACCCTGAAGACTGAGAAGGTTCTTTACATCGGGTTTCTTGGGCCTCAGCATGATCAAACCCAAGTTCCCCACCCACAGGCCTTCCTTATGCTCCCAAAGTCAAGGCATCTTTCCTGGGAGAGCAAATATAATGGCTTGATTAGGGGACCATGCACCATCTCCTTCTGCCTAAGACAGCAACTCAAGTGGGCTGTAGAACATGCAAAGACCTTGCCTCCAGCGTTGGAAGTCTGCGGGCAAGTCTTCTAGGCATTTTTCTACTGAGGCTGGAATATATGCAGAAACATTCCATCTTCCTTTCGCTGGGGTTGGGTGTTGGGGAATAGGTGATACTGGTGTTAGACCTCTTCCTATGCCCAGTATCAAGCCCTAGGACAACTGGTTTTACTCTCAGCCAGTTTAACAAATTGACTTGTATTGCTAGTTTTACTCAAAGCTGGCAAGGGTAGCCTATAATTCAACTGGTGTGTTTATGTGGCAGGGATGCTAAGATGCCTGTGCCCACCTTCATGACAGTAGTTCCTGACTTCAAAGAACACCACAGTGGCCACTTGGCATGATTTCCAGTGGTGGTGGTAGTTCACAACTGCTGGTATGTTCAAACGGCCTTTACCCAATTTGAGTACCCTACAAGCTCTCTCATAAGCACTTTGCTCACTGTGGTATGAATTTGTGGAGCTGCCTCACAACTCCCACAGAACCCACTATGATGTGTGAGTCTCGTAAGTCCTAGGAAAAGCACCCAAGTATCAGTGAAGTCCTGAGAGCAATGCCTTAGGGATGAGCTGTGGCTGAGCTGCTCTTGGTGTGATCATCCTCCAGACTGGCCACACTCGTCACAGAGAGAAGATAACACTCACTCTTCTTGGCCAGTGTGATCACCCTTCCTGGGGCTCCACTGGGTCTGGAGAGTTCCCATCTGCAGGTCCCAGCTCATGCACTCCATGAAGCCAACAGTATTCCAAAAGTTTTCTCCCGACTTCTCCCTCAAGGGCCTCCCCTCCACCACTCTCCTCTCACTGTTTCTGTGCTGTTGTCTTTTTCTTGAGGCAATGTTGAGTCTGCAGAAGAGGTTCAAGAATGATGAGAGGATGGAGGATGCAGAGGATGGAGGATGCAGAGCCTCCTCCCTCAGTCTCCTTTCATTGCACATTTGATGCTCTCTGAACCAGTCTTACAGGCTGAGTGCCTCTTCTGGTTGCTTGCTTGGGACTGACTGAAAGTTACTTCAGAAACTTTTGTCTAGATTCTAGAATATTGTATGCATAAGCATAACTAGATATTTTGGAAATGGGACTTATGTAAAAACACAAAAATTCACTTATATTTCTATAAAACAACTTTGTACTATGTGTGTGTTTCTATGTGCATGTGTGAATAGAGGCCAAAGGTCAACATTGGGTCTCTTCCTCTGTTTCTTTACACATTATTATTATTGTTGTTATTGTTGTTGTTGTTAAGACACTATTATTCTCTTGCTGAATGCCCATGAATTGCCTGGACTGGCTGGCCAGTGAGCTCCAGAGATCCATATGTGTCTGCCTGTCTCACACACCTAATGCTGGGGTCATAGATGCACACCACCGTACCTTGCTTTCATAGGGATACTGGTAATCCAAATTTAGATCCTCACGCTTGCATGGCAGGCATTTTATGGGCTGAACCATCTCCCAACGCCCATTTATGTTTCACAGACTATTTAAACACACATCTGCATATACTTTATCACATTCACTGCTAGAGTACCTGCATTGTGACTGTGACCATCGCAAGGAGCCAGGCATAGAATTTTACAATGATGGTAGCATTTCAAGTTCAAGGATGTTTGTATTGGGGGGTGGTTTCAGAGTTTGGGTTTTCAGATTAAGGATGCTCAGCTCGTGTTCTTTCTGTCATCTCTGTGCCAAGGCTATCCATCACAGAGCAGTTCCCTCTGTGTCCATATGTTAGACACAGGATTGGCACTGCTGAGTCTTCTGGGGTGCAGTATATTTCCCATGGTGCAGATAGAAAACACTAGCCTCAGGTAATAATAGGAGGCTCTGGCCTGACTAGACGGAATGGGCTTTCTGAATGGTAGCATCAAGTCTAGAGCACCCACAAGCAAGCCCAAAGCAGAACTTACTCAATGAGTGAGTAAGAAAAGAAGTAGGGCAACAATGGGACCAGTAACTCATGGTGGCAAAACCCTGGATGCCCAACCTGGGAGCCCTCTGGAGGCCACCAGATGAAGACATGGGGCTCCAGGCTGTCAACATGACCCACTGCAGCCAGGTGGACAGTCCATTCCTTTCCCTCTAGCTAGTGCTCCCCTGATGTGTCCAGATGTTATCTAGCACCCTCAGATTCCTCTGAGGATTTGTGTCATTGGAACACTGTACTGGTTACTTTTTCTTGCTATGGCCACATACTCAAGCAAATGCTACTTAAGGAAGGGAGTGCATATCTGAGCTCAGGTTCAAGGGAAGGAAGGTGTAGTGGCAGGAGTCTGAGGCTGCTGGTCACATTGCATCCACAGGGAGGAAGCAGAAGTTGAATGTTGGTGCTCAGCTCACTTCCTCTTTTTTACCGAATCTGGAACTCCAGGCATAGCAAGGAGCCACCGACTTTAGGGTCATCCCACATCAGTTAACCCAATTATAAACTCTCTCAGACATGCCCAGAAGCTTCTCTCATAGGTGATGATACTATCTCTGGCTAGAAGTAATGAGTATTCATCATCGCAAGTGCCTTTGCCCTCCTCCCCTCCTTACCTGACCTGTGCCCATGATCCTTTTCTCCCTTTCCCAACATGGCTGAGGGACCCAGTTCATTCCTCTGCCTCTGGCCATGTTCATGACTTTTCACCCCTTGTTGCTCAACAACCAGGCGTTTAGAATGCTTGAGACCAGCTTTTGAGAATGTTCTGGAAAGGCTACACGAGACAGTTAATGTTCCAGTAGTAATCCTTTTGTAACCTGACTATAACTGCAGACTTCCACATCCAGAATGATAAAACGGTGTGGATTTAGAAGTATTAAGGGAATTGTAAAATGTCTAGGATTAAAATTTCAATACCGTTTGTGCCCCATAAATATGAAGTCTTTAGTAACTTGAAACTGTGCTATTATGACTCAGGTCTGCAAATCATGGATTCTGGCTGAAGAAATGGGAATAACACGTGGGGGAATCTGGTCCCATCCCTCACCTCCAGGCCCATGCTGTGGGCCCACCGAATAGCAAGGGTGTGACCTCATAGGCGAACAAGTCCAGAGAAATCACCATGCTGGTTATGAAAACGATACACCCTCCAGAAGAGAAAAAATGTTATTCTTTCCATTGGGTTTGCTTATGGAAATGGGGCCGAATTGAACCTGTGGCCTCCACAGACCTGTCAGACTCCACAGACAAGACCCCAAGAAACAAGGGCGTAGGATAGCTTTTCGAATGACTTTATTGAAAAAAATGAAAATAAATCAGTCTAGTTAGTCTGAACTGGAAAATTAATTTTATCTATAGAATCACTTACCAAAGCATATAAAATTAGACTTCCTAAGTGTCCAGAAGGGACTTGGCCTTGTGTCTAACAGATTCACAGAGACTTAAGTAAATGACTTTAGTCTTAATACAGCTAAAGCCTTGGGACGTTTAATACAGAGCTGATCTGAAGTATAGCACTAATTTATCATTTTAAAAAGTCATTGCATGCGTGCTTCAGTGGCTAATTGAAGGACTGAATTATACACTTTGCCTGAACTAATAATCCAACATGGATTACCCAACTGGAAGGGAAAAAACTTCAATTTGTCATCTTTAAGGTACAATATTTTAATGTTGAGATTGACAGAATTCATTTGTTTTTAATGCTTGCGAAGAGTTGATGGATTCTAGCATTTCCCTGGACTCGCTCAACTTCCACATCTTTTCACTGCGTCATTTTTGTTATAAGCTTCTGATGCCAAATTCCTCGCCCAGAATGAAAACCCAGCTGCTTCTCTTTTGATTCAGGGGTGAATTTATGGGACCAGAGAGGAGCTTATGAAGTGGCCAGAGCCTCCATTCTGAGCAAGGACCCTGGAATCCCAGGACAGAGCTTCCCGGCAAAGGTCAGCTATCTGTCTGTCTGTCTGTCTGTTTGTTTGTTTGTTTGTTTCATTTGTTCCTTTTCACCCTCAACTTTGAGACAGCAGAAGTTTCAAAACCATGTTGACCAAACTGGTAGTCTGCTCATGTTTTGTCTTTATGCATTCAATGCAAACTTTGTTCCTTTGAAATGAGAGCTCCATCTCACAGAAGATAAACTGAGTCCAGCTCTGGTGGTCCAGCTCTAAAAAGAGACTCAGCAATGTTAGCGTCTACAAACATTGATTTGAGGATTCGGTGGAGAGATGGCTTGTTAGTGAAGATCCTCTGCTGCTCTTGCAGAGTATCTGGGTTCGGTTCCTAGCATTCATATTAGGCAGCTCACAATCATCCATGACTCTAGTTGTGTGGGTCTGGCATTTTCTTCTGGCTTCCATGAATACCAGCCATGAAAATGGTGTACATACATACACACAAGGAAACATTCATATGCATACAACAGTACATTCATACAATAGTAATCTTTAAAAAATTATCTGAGGGGTGCTGAGAATGTAGCTTAGTGGTGGGGCATTTATCTAGCCTGCATGAAGCCCTGGGTTCAATTCCAAAGCCTGAAAAATAATATTCCTATCAAACACCAAAGACTGCATTACCATACACATAATTTCTGCATTCAGTTTATTTGAATGACAACTATTTTTTTTGTATTCATGTTAATCTAATAAACACTTTTCCCCAATTGATTGTTAATAGAAATTCTTTCATACAACTTAAAAAATTCACCAAGTCTTAATACACTCTAAACCGTGTTTACTTTTGACATGTTTGATTTGCACCTTCTGTGATGTACCATAGATAATTGGAATTTTGCCAATTAATACTTTGGTGCATTTCATCTGCCAAGCACACATGACTTTTTAAAATTTCAGAATACGTAGTGACAGAAGATGATGAAATCCATAGAAACCTGAGTCCTTTGGAGAGATCACTCTGATGGCTTTGTCCTGGTGTTCTGTGCAAGTATTTTTAGATCATTTTTTTCATGATAGAAAACAGATTTTTTAAAAGACCAGTCAAGACTGTAGAAATCCCATGTAGCTTTCCAGAATGGTCACCGGGCCCCTCTGTGTGGGGACAGATGGGATGATTTATATCCTCCATTTATCTCCTGGAGAGCCTGCATTTGAAACTGTTTTAGGAGAGGTTAGTGGTTTGGCCTAGGGAGCCAAATGCCCAATCTGAATCAGGGGGGAAAATCTGTTTTAAAGAAGTGGTCCCAAATTGTCTATGTTGGAGGACAAGGAAGCATGGCGGTACTGATGCTGTTTCCTAGGAGAAAAACTTGATAGTAAAGAAACTCCCATCATGCTATTTATCAGTCATATTAGGATATGATGGATGCAGAAAAAGAGAGCTATACTACTTAACAAAGAATATATGTATACTAAAATAGTTACAGGCTCTGGGTTGGCGAGATGGTTCAGTGGGTAAAGGTGCTTGCTGCCAAGCTTGGTGATCTGAGCTCAATCTGCAGGACCCATGTGGTGGAAAGATAGAACCAATTCTTTCAAGTTGTCTTTTTACCTCTACACACATGCACATAAACACAGAGAGAGGCACACACATAGGTGCACACACAAGACATATACACACACCGGCACACACACACATGTGCACACACATACGATAGGTTTCTGGATGATAGAGAACACAATAGAGAGTTTCCCTGGGGGTAGATTTGCCAGAATCAGTGTTTCCATTGAATTTTAGATCAACAGTGAAGGTTGTTGTTTTGTTTGTTTGTTTGTTTGTTTGTTTTTAGTATAAATAAACTCTATATAATGTTTGGGACATATTTGTCCTAAGAAGGTCTTCGTGTCCCAATGTGGTTCAACGGAAGTGCAGGTCTGCCTGGGTATCTGGTGTTTTCAGTGTCAGCACTGCATGGGGGAACTAGTGCAACAAGCCCCCAAGCTGATGGCTCACCACCAGTGTCAGCCAGTTCTGTTCTGCTCTGGCTTCTGGCCTTGGCTTCATCTTTCCTGTCCATTGACCATCTGGCAGGTGCTGTGAGGCATATATGAGGAGAAAGTGGTCCATCACTGCTGACCAAGCCTCTGTATTATGAGATAGTCTGTACCACCAGAAAACGAGGATGCACCGTTACTGTTTGGACCAGTTCCTAACTCCTGTGGGATCCCACTCCAGAAGTGGAACCATAAGGGAGATGGGCTAAAGTAGATTGCATTCAAGTGACTCCATAGTACTGGCATTATTTAAGAGAATAGGAACAAAGGTGATTTGGTGAATGCCAGCTTGCTTAGTGTTTTTATGCCACAGGGCACCCCCCCCATCTCAACACACAACGGTGACATTAGCATTATGGGACCACAGTTGCAACACATGTTCACATGGGTAACTGGCAAAACCTTCCATGAATAAAGTACACATAGATGGTCTATTAATGTGGTACCCTTGGAATTTTCCATGCAATGGACACATCTATTTGATCTGGTTAGTGTCTGCAATTGTGTATTTGCCCCTTTTATCAGTAGCAGTCAAGATCTAACCTCGAAACTATATCAACACAGTGACCCTCCACACCGTCTTCTCCTGGTAAAGTATTTATAAATGCCTATTGTATTTCAGAAATAGATTTCCACTTTCCTTCCCCACCCCCACTTTCTGTGACTTGGCTGGTTTTTAAAAGTACACCTCATGCCCTGGACATTGGACACATGGTCAACAAAGGAGGCAGCAAGTCTTTGCCCCCTGCACTTTACATTCCAGTGAGGGACATGCAAATATAAAAAAAAAATCCATGTTGTCACTCAGAAGAAAACTACACTCTTTTCTAGGGATCCATGGGGGAAATACATTGTGGTAGAAATGCCAGGAAAGGCTTTTATAAGATAAAGAAGATTTCTACCTTTTCCATTGAGTTCCACAGAGCTAGGGTGTGAACAGTTGATATTCAAGGAAAAGGAAGAAGCTGAATTTATAACAAGCACACTGCGCATGCTGGGCATACACCATCTCACACTTGGGTCACCAGTGGTAAGAAAGTTGGAGCATCATCAAGGAAAAGAGAGAGGAAGTGGTGAGAACTGGTCAGACTGGGGAGAACTGTCAGGGAGTGGCAGGGTGTCTTCCAGAGACTCCCTGTGTCTGGGCTCTGGCTACATAGGAGGAGGAGCTGCCACCATGGACATCCTTGAGGAGGAAGGGTCCCTGTTTGATATGGTTTCCCCACATCATTAATTTGCCATGTTCGCTGGCTCTCAGTTTGCATGTGTGTTAGAACTGCCTGGAAGTGTATTGTCAGTGATCTTTCCCTTTTACCTTAGGTCCCAGGCATGTTCCTTTTGATTATTGCCCTTGCATTCCTCAGTGGTGTAGCCAGTGGTACATTGCCCCCACTTAAGCAAATAGCACCTCCATCCACGCTCACGCAGGCTCCTCTAATTAAGAGTAGTGGATCACACACAAAAAGGGGCATAAAAGTAGGAAGACTTGGAAGGAAGAAGAGATTCGGTGTGAGAGGGAAGGAGACAGAACAGTGGTTCTCAACTTGTGGGGGGTGATGACCCCTTTGATGGTCGAACTACCTTTTCGCAGTGGTTACATATCAGATATAATGCATATTAGATATTTACATTACAATTTAGAACAATAGCAAAATTATAGTTATGAAGTAGCAACAAAATAATTTTATGGTTGGGCTCACCACAGCATGAGGACTGTATTAAAAGGTCGAAGCATTAGGAAGGTTGAGAACCACTACAAGAGAAGGTAATGAGGGGTCTTCAACCAAAGAACCAAACATTTATAACAGTATAGAAGAATACATTTTAAATGCCTTTGGAGGATTTTTGTTTTGTTTTGTTTGTTTTTCCAGACAGGGTTTCTCTGTGTTGTTTTGGTGCCTGTTCTGGATCTCCCTCTGTAGACCAGGCTGGCCTCGAACTCACAGAGATCTGCCTAGCTCTGCCTCCTGAGTGCTGGGATTAAAGGCATTTGATACTGTCACCTGGCTCCTTTGGAGGATGTTAATGAGAATATAAGGTTTAGAAGTTTGGAAGACACATTGAGACTATATGTAGAGCTGAAGTGTTGGTCAATGAGACCAGTGACTAAGACAGAGATGCAGTTGGGGACACCCTCCTTGTTCCCATCTTTCTTGTCATGAGCTGTCACTGCTGCTGATGATTTGAAAGGGTGGAGGGGGAGGAAAGGACATGGCCTCACTAGAGTTAGGGACCATCCAGCCTTCTGTTGGTGAGCTGGTTGGCATTGCCTATGACATGGCATTATCTCGTCACTCTCCCTCCTCTTGGGGGCATTGGAAGAATGAGATAGAACAATGGCTTTCAAAGGACTCTGGGGCTGGGCCATTACTGTGCAAATGTAAAGTAATACTGGGAGTTTAAAGTGTCTTTGGGGACCCATCTCCAATTTCATGTCTTGGAAAAGTCAAGCTGAGAACCAGGGAAGACATGTCACATTGATGGAGCGTGAGATGGTCTCGGTGGAACTCAGCCTCTGAATGCTCCAGGAAATGTCCAATTTCCAGCTTTCTCACATCACAAGGAAATTATGGAAATTGTACGTGAAATGAAAAATAAGAGGCCAAAGGATTAGAAGGGGAGCCCAGAGCTTCCTTAGCAGATGGTAGGTCTCAAATATCAAGCTACGACTCATTACAATGGTGGAGGCATATTCTGTTCCAACAGATGCACTTACCACTTTCCAAGCCCAGAAAACTGAGGCCAGCTCTTGTGTCAAGTGGCTGCTCCCAACTGTCCCTTCATAACCATTTTCTGAGGAGGGTGGCTCACGTCCTCTGGCCCTCCCTCTCCTGTGCCCTCCTCCTCTTGTGGGTAGCAGTTTCTTATATTTCATCAGAAGCACCTTTCCAAAGCTTATGTGGCCTCGAAAGCCAATGCATGCCTCCCTCCTCCCTGCTTGTCTCAACCCTGACTTACTCTCCTGTAAAAGCCTTCTTTTGGATCTCAAAGCC